AACTATATGCTATAGTTGTCCGATATCACCGGTTCTGACAAACGAGCAGCTTCTTGAAGAGAAAAGAACACGCACAAAAGTTCAGCTCGATATCTAGTATATAGAAATTTATTTTTATAATTTCCTCTCTACTATCCATGGTCTTATACCAAATCCAAAATATAGTAGATTTCATAATAGTTGAGCAGCAACTCTATCTTTCCGGCATATCAACACTATCCCGGTATTATTACTAAAAAAAAGAGAGAGAAAGAGAAAAATATGAGAGCGGAGAGTGAGAATGTGAGAGAGAAAGCGAGGATGCTTTAGGTTCTACTTCTATATCATTAACCCTTCTCAATTTGTATTAAACTAGCAGATCACATCACTTGCCATCCCATTTGGGACTTTTACTATTATTTATATTCAATTCCGCACACGACCGCTTCGTAGGTAGCCAACTGGGCGAGTGAGCCGCGCTGCACGTTATTTCATGACATTGAGTATAAAATACCCTAATTGTTTTGAAACTATAATACAGCCTATATTCACCGGATAGACTGTAGCTTCCCAATTGAATAAATTTTCAAATCCATCAAGTAGTTTTGGAGCTAATTTAATTCAAGCAAAGTAACAGTCAAATATTTTCTCTTTATAATATTGGTATAAAATAAAAGCTGACTCAATTTATTAACTTTTTGACCTATGTCTGGAATGGACCCATTCTTAAGCCTATTTTAGCTCACAACCGTTTCCTTTTTCTCTCAAATTTTTAAGTTTGTGAATTAGAAGCCTTGAAGTTAACAGTGGGTGTGAGAGTAAGGTACTTTCGAAACACTCTTTATATTTGTTAAAAAGTTCTTAGCTTCATCGCGGTTGTTACGTGATATAGTGTCTTATATTTCATTGATTTAGAAAATACCTTTCTTTTTTCTCTTTACGAAAAGAGTCATAAAACGTGGCGAAATCGTACAAAGTGTATTTCTCTTTAAATGAGCAACATTGAAAAATTTTACAGTATTACAAGCCACTCTGTTGATTAGATGAAATATCTATGGCTTATCCTTGATAAAAAGCTTTCATGAAGGCCAAATATTAAGGAGAGAGTAAAGCAGCCATCGGTTGCCATATATTGCTGCAAACGAGCTATAGAGAAAAGCTGGGGACTCTATCCAAAAGTGGTGAAAAGGCACAGTAAGCAATTTCATGGTTAGGTTTCTGTCCTTACTAAAAATATCAACAAGCTACTTCGATATCAGGCAGGTTTTACTGCTAGATCGGAATCGCTGGTAATTGCAAAGCCAATGAGCTGGCCCTTCTTTGCTCTACTCACACAGGAATCGTAACGAGTTGGATGTCCATGGCATCTTGCTTTCTACCACTGCACCAATGGACCTCACGCGCACTTAGCAGCCATTGGTCGACGACTCGTTCCTGTGCGATTGCAAAATCCTCTTGGACTAGAGCAGAATGCTGGAGATTTAATGAACTACTTGCCTATAACAAAGTTAACAAATGTTCAATAGTGACAAATTATTATAAATAAATAGGTAAAACTGTCGAAAATTCACGAGTGTTAGGAGCATTCGTTCGCGAATACAAAGCAATATGTTGATAAACTCGCAGAGCGCTCGTGAACTTTTTTCTCCTAGTGTTGGAGAGCGGTCTATAAGAAAGTACCAATGTGCTGTTTATATGCATATCTTCTCTCAAAAATCATTTATAGTATGTGTCTTTATTTGCTTTGGAATGGAAAATCAGTGAAATATCTTTCGAAAGTCGTTGGCGTAAAGGAGTTAAGCCGAAAAATTGTGAGCAAATATTATTCAATAACAACGCCAAGTAAATGCTGTGTTTACACATATATATATATATTTATATATGTTCGTATTTACTCACTGCCGTAGGTGAATTTAACACCGCCTATATGACTGGAAAATATGCGCCGAACGCGCGCCTTTACTGCAGGTCCTTTTTGGCATTTTTCGATTTCCGATTTTCTGATATTTATGCAACAACAACAACATTAGTATTTTGTGTGTGCGAATTTTCGTTCTGCGGTTTTCAATTTATTTCGTATGCGCACGCTAGCGAGATATTGAAAAAAATCGAGCCAAAACGAAATATATTTCCAAAAACAGAAAAATGTGCAAAGAAAACTGGTGATGCCTACATGTGGCTGATACAACTGCAAATACACGGCGAAAAATTTTAAAATATAGAAAATCAAGATGAGGGTGCTTTAAGATAGTGAGCGATATGAAATAAATGACACAAGAAGCAAAAGGTAGAAAAAACGTATAAAGCTCGCGATAAAGCTTAAGAAAGCAGCAATTTAAATAGTTGTAGTTGTTTCAAAATGAAGTTTAAATTTTGCATTCCGCATATTTTTAACGCATTCATGGCGTTCGAGCGCACTCTTTGCTTTCGAATCTAATATTTTATTTTAAGCTTGTCTACTAAGCCTTTGCGGCAAAAGCATTTATTGCAGTGTGTGCTCGCACCATTATAGCATTCTTACACCTCGCTCGTGCCACACCAAACTGGACGCTGTATGATGAACAACTTCCGCCTGTATATGACCTGCGACGCCGGCGGCGCGCCAAAAATCGAACGAACAACAATAAAATAAATCTGCTGAATGCATGCAAGGCTTACTTTGAATACTCATATGTGTATCCTGATATTTATTCATTTATTTTCCATGTGCCGTTTTTATGTTACCTGTCGGAAATATGCCATTTAATTTATACGAGTACACCAAATGTGGGCAGGCGCACGGACGAGGCGCGCCAGAAAACAGAAAATGGGAAATATGAAAGATTGAGAAATATAAATAAAATGGCTGCGAATCCATATAAACACCAGCAATGTTATTGTGTATTTTAAAAATATAAATATTTGCGCCGCAACACTAGTGCAAACAGCAGTACACGCCATTGTGTTCGGCATATGCTCGGCTCGAAATATATGTACAAATAGCTGAACGATAAATAGATTTCAATAATAAACCAATAGTGCTTTTAACATTAAAAAAAAGCTTGCATGCAAAACCCTTTAATAGCTTTACTAACAGAGAGTTGAACAAGTGAAACAGGCTAGCATACTTTTAAGATTTCATGAATTGCGAAAAATTGTAAATATTCCTGGTTTATATGTTGACAGACCAATAAAAGGTGCTACTTTTCGGACTGGACTGTGTTTATGGTATTTCTTCTTCTAAGTGCGCCAGTATGAGATGGCGGCTTGCCGACAGTCTTTTAATCTGTTATGCTTCCCTCCCAACTTACAAGAAGCTTACTTAACAGGGAGCTTTAGGTTTGAGGTTAGCGAAATCAATATAAAAACTCCGTGAACGAAAAAAAAATTAATATATTTCCGCTTGCAAGGTACCATTTTAGACTTCTTCTGTAATTGAAACCGGTAATAGAATCTCTAACGGTATTAAATTATGAACAACAATATCCACAAACAAAAGCGTGATGAGAACGCACTTTCGAATATCAAAAAGCTTTAGTGTCTTTATTTTTTCTGATTCCCAAACCATTTCCCGAGAATACTACTACTGTATTCTTGGCATAGGTCATTTAATCAGAAGGTTGTCCGGCTGATCCCTCCACATGGCACTGTACAGTCCTTTGTAAAGCCAGATGAAAATTTCCAGTAATAAGATATAAGCTACGGGCAAAGCGCTCTGAATCTGCCTAGATACTTTAATCATATTTCTGCTTTATTTATATTTCACGTGGATGTCTAAAAGTATGAAATCCGAGGTGTCTTTGTCTTGATCTGGCAAAGGAAGGGCATTTGTAGAGTAAGTGATGATTTCATCTCATCTTCTTCAAAACAGCTGCTGTAATAGGCATCCGGTAGATGGATTCATCTCGTACCATATGAATCCTGATCGGACAGTGTCCACAATCATGGAAAGGTGGAATTTGCTAGAGCTCTTACGATTTGCATTGTGCCAGTACCAACACTTGCTGAGCTGATCTGAGGCCTAAAAAATCAAGTACTGAACCGCAAGAAGCCAACGGAGCTTCTACCCGTTTCCATTACGCAGTTACTGAGATTGACGCACCTGTCCTAGCAAGCTCATCAAGCTTTCAGTTTCCTGTAAAAGCCTTGTTAGATACCTAAAGCAGTCTTATCGTGTGGTAACTCGATGCTAAAAATGAAATAATAGCGTAGTAAAGCTATCCTAACTTAAAACTCGTTATTTTACCACTCGTGAAAATACCACCATTATCTTGTTATTATTTTTACTTCTTACAAGTTATCTATAGCTCTTAAATTAACGCTTGACTCTCTTGCAGTTCCTTACGATATTATCCCTTCACTTATTTATTTAGAAATGTAAATTGTCAGCAATTTTATTTGTCCACTCAACTATTGAGTTTTATTGCTTACATTCGCAATTCTGGTCTCTCGTCGCTGCACTTTATGCAAAATAATGGTTATGCAAAAGGAAATTACATTTAACAACAGCGGACTAGCATACATTTAGGCGCAGCACACATCGCACATGTCAGTGTGTATTTGTGCATATGCGAAGCACTTATATTGTAATTGTGTGAGTAATAGCCAGAGCAGACATGTGTCATTTGTAACGAAGCATATCGTGCGCCATGTTGTTGCTGTTGAGTTGAACTGCTATTCGCTTGCCACACATTTGAAATTCTACAGATGGCTTGAGCAATTTAGCACACAGACCGTATCAAATATTTATGACATAATTTTGATGGCGTTTCTGTGATATTTCGCACACTTATATTGGCTGCAATAAAGTTCTGCAAATATAAACAAGGAGCATTGCAAAAGGTTGCTTTATTATATGTATATATAATATATACATAAATACATATACGCGTATATATATTATTTTAAGTGCAAAATACGCAAATCTTTTTGTTTTCTTTTTTTATTTATAAACTAAGTGTATATTCTAGAGTTTGATTTTTAATAACGCTTTCATATTTTTTGGTATAATAAAGCTTTACCATCTTTCTATATATTTCCAGTAATTCAAAGCAAGACTCAACTGTAGCACAAAGGCGTTCAAAAAATGTGAGTACCAAATACATTAATTTTTTTTTTTAATTGTAAATGAAATTTTGCTTATGCTTTTTTGATATCTATGTCTACCGGTCGACATGATTTGTGCATCTAACTACTGCATGTTAAATTTCAGTTTCTCTCACACGAAAAATAAAAGAAAAATATTTTTTTTTTTAATAAAGTTTGCTTTTGTAGAAAATTTGTTCGTATTTGTTTTATGTTCGTACGAGCAATTCAGGCCTATTTGTAGCAGGCAAACGCAAACTTTCAAAGTAAAAAATATGTATACCAGTGTTTTTAAAAATCTAGAATCAGAATGTTCAGCTTTCAGAAAACAAAGACTGAAATACTTTGTAACTCATTGCTCTAGTCATTCAGGTAAACTAACTGATATAGAAATTAGTTCCCGCAAACATACTTGGGTCAAGCACATAATACTTAAACTATTCATGTGTAATTTGATTATTTTACAAGATACTTTTGGTATCATGATGGACTGGTCGGCAACTAAGCGTGATATATTATATGTGTTTCGCGTGCTTTCCGACACAGCAGACCTAGTACCTAACTTAACGTAACCATATACTCCGATAAATTTGTTTTTAAACTTATTAGTGTTAGTGTTTTAATTTTGCTACAAAAAACAGCTTTCCATTAGCAAAGAAAAAATTTTAAAAATTTTGTGTACTTTTTTTTCAAAAATTATTGCAGAACCGGAACAATAAACTGGGAACACTTCTTACGATCTGCAATAACTACCCTAATTTTACTTAAAAAATAGTTTCTTATAAGGTTTTCTTCTTTTGCCGAAGCTAGAAATATCAATAAAATATTATTTTGTGCTCTGTTGACTAGTGTCTTTTTTGCTCATCTCTCAACGAATAATATAATTCGTATTTTACAATATTGGGAATTTATTTACACAATGTGACTCATAGGAGTAACTATTTGTTTCCAAAATTTTTAACAAATAAATTGGCGATTTTATTTACAAAAATTATGTTTAACAAAATAGGCTTTACTTTTCACAGTAAGGTGTGCTCTGAACCATTTGCACGAAGCAAAGTCAATCTCGCCACAATTGTATGTCTTCTGACTAGACACTATGCAATAGGCTCACATGCGGTGAGGCTAAGTGCCTTGCCAAAGCTGTATGGAGGCAGACAAGGTGGATCATCGGCATTTTCTCCTCTACTGGCCAGCTTTTGCCAGACTGAAATTAAAATATTTCGATAGACACACCTTCGGCGAACATAGCGAAGTGGCTGAGATACATATAAACCGCTTTAGCAAATTTGTTGTCAGATCGAAACGCTTCGTCGATTTATGAAGATCTTGTGATCGATTTTTAGTAGTTTCTGTATATCACAAAAAAAATTAGGTGTCCTTTCGACCACGTATACTACCAGAAAAGCTTTTCTATGTCAAAAAATGGCTGACAAATATGTCACAGTCATGATACTACAAACTTTGCAAAAATTTTAAAGGCTATACATATGTAAAAAAGTCGAAAAGTCACCCATTTCGTGAGTTTGTACTAAAAGTAAAGAAAAAATTCTTCAAGCCTGACTTGGAAGTTACGATCCCTTTTTAGTTGGCCAGAAGCTCGGAAAAACGATCACCGCCTTTAAAATACTAAATAAAATACAAAAAGGAGAAAATCTGAACATTTCTGATTTTAGAAAAATACTACTTTTCTTCATATATAAGTAGTATAAGTACATACGAGTATATATTATTTCAGAACAACCGCAATTTGTACAAGTATAACTGTGCCACATAACCTCACCATTAAATTTATTTTAATTTTCCTCCACTTGCTAAGAAAATCTCTGCCAATTGCATTGCACATAAAATTTTAAGCCTTCCTTATTTTCCAACTATAACAACAACATGGGATACTAGAAGTTGTGGTGAATTTTAACTTTTGCCACAACTGCTCACCAGCTACACATCACATAAAATCCGAGCTTTATCTGCATTCCGCACGCATACACACACACACACACACGTGCAACTAGAGCTCTTCAACAGATTTCGTGCGAAGAAAAGGATATCTCTGTTTCTAACTGCAAATACGATTTTATTTCAACCGTCAACCAGGGAACCATGCACAACGAAAAAACACAGCAGACTTAGCACAGGAAGCGCAAAAGCACGAGCGGCATGCGGAAGCTGTGAGTATGGCAGTATAAAAGAAAAATCCTTTGCCGTTCACCCGCACTTTTTGCACTACCAGCTATTTGCGCTATTCGTGCGCTGCGTTGCTGGGGTTTCTTTCGCTATTCCCTATTCCCCATGCTGTTGCAATGTGGCTGCTTAGAAATGAAATCGAGAACATATGTACTGGAGTAACAGTAAAATTCAGCTGAATGCCACAATATTACAGTGTGGCCGCTGCTGTCGTGCCGCTGTTGTTGCAACAATAATATAAATTACTTAAGTTCTTTATTTCACCGACTTTTATGAAAATACGTCAGTGTAAAATGTGGAAAAAAATGCACGCCATGGCAGCTGCTGCAGGCGGCGTAAAAGCCCTAGCATACATCTAGGCGTCATAAATTGAAGTGCAGTGGTGTATGGCACGGTTCCACATAGATTTAGTTTTTATTTGAATAGTCTATGCGCCAAGCGAATGTTATTTGCATCATTTAGTCAGTGCTCCATTAACTTTCCTCATTTAAAATTAAAAAAAATAAAAATCATTTAAAAAATTGGTTGCGAAATGCTGTGTTTTAAGTGTATTATATTTTGTCTATGTTAAAAATTCTTTCTAGTTTTATCAAAAAAAAGTATATTTATAACACATTCGCTTCCGTTTCGCTCTTGTCTCACCGCCATCAATATAATAAAAAATGATTTCATTAAAAAACATCTGTAGTGTGTTGTCTCTGCAATTATTTCAACATTTCTTTTCCCAATTCTCAAACCATATTTATCCAAACAACTGCCACAATGAGAAGTAACTCGCACCCAATTTGGCAGATAGATATGGTTCATTGACCAAAATTCATTAATCGCATTATTCAATCATTTTGGCTGGAAATGCGCCATAAAGTAGGCAACAAGAGGCGTGTTAAAGCGAAAAAAGCGCAATTTTCATAAATTTCCTATTTTCAGAACCAAATAAATAAAGTAAATTTGTATTTATTTTTATTCGCAAAGATCCAAACCTATATCTAGAGCAAAGCTTTTCTTCAAATAAAAAGTGTTTATTTGCATGAATTCTTTCTTTTCAAGCCCCTACGTAACTGAAAGAGTAGTTTATAGTTGCGTAAAATTATTATAATTAGCTAACATGAGTTTGGAGGAAAACTTACTTTTTTGAAGTAAGAAAGTCTTTTATTGGATTACTCGTGATTTGAAAATATTTTTCAAACTCTTTCTTAGGCGAAAGTGTAGCTTAGAAGTAGAATTTGTTACCCTTAGTGGAACTTGGTACCTCGAACTGAATATGCCGACTTAGTAGTGTAGTAGAAGTTTTAGAAAGCGTACATGATGCTCAAAACTTATTGTCATTAAAGCCTACTATACCTAAATTACTAAACAGTAGTCAAATAATTTTAAGCAAAATAACTAAACCTATAAAATAAGCGATAAAAAGAAATTAAAGCGTAATTTAGGGCGTAATATAGGTCTTGCTATAATAAATACAAAATCAAATAAAGTTTAGGTCTTGTTGGAGATTAACTTTTTGATCTGAATAATCTGACTGTCAGATGGCTGCCAAATGATTTCATAAAACTCTAAGACAACTGTCAAATAGCTACTGTTAATTGATAGCTGTCAAGTAGTGGCTATACTGTGACTATTGCCACATGTCTCTCACATGCTGGCCATCCTGTCAAATAACTGTCAGAAAGTTCTCAAATGCTGTCAAATGACTGTCAGATAGCTGTGATATAATTACCTAAATGCTGATATGCGTCAGATGAGACTCTTCGAAAGACTTTATACCATGCGCCATATAAATTGTACGGCAAACCGATTAAAAAAAAACTTTAAGATTATGTTAACCTTTTTTTATGTTCGTGTGAAGTTTGATCTCCATCTGTCAATTAGCTTATTAAGAGATATTTGTTCACAACGCGAAAACTTTGTCTGGCGATTTTTACTATGAAAAAAAATGGAACTACAAGTTTGCTTAAAATTTTAAGTTTTTCCAATGAAATCACGGTAATAGTTTAAAATGTTTCAAAGCTGTTTTTGGGAGTCCACTTTATCACGCTGATAAGTATTTCAGTGGCACAATGCATTTAGTGACACTCGTGAAGTCATTGAGAACTTGCCTCATGCGAGGTGTTCATACAACCCTGCTAATGATGACAACATCGACAATTTTAAAGAAACAGTGCCTGAATCATCATGTTGGCATCAGAGAGAAACTGAACATCTCTAATGGATCGACTCAACACTTTTTGGTAAATATTTTGGGTATAAAGCGTGTCAATACTTGCATTGTACCAAAAGACTTGAATCGTTTGCAAAAACGACGTCGTATAGAGATCGCAATAGACTTGCTTGATAACGAAGCTGAGGACCATACATTAATCAAACTCATCATTACTGGTAATGAGACGATGTTTTATGAATATTACGACGAAACGAATGGCGCTCTGAAAACGAGCCAAAACCGAAAAAGTCACTGAAGGCGATGAAAGCACTATCATAGTGAAGGCTTTTGCTATTGAAAATTGATGTAAGCGTTGGCATATTTGTATTGAAATACGTGAAAATGCATTTCTTTTTGTCAGTGTGGTTCAAATTTGATCAGATGTTAATAAGAGTCCAGCACAGCTAAAGCAGGGTATTTACACTTTTAAATGTTTAAATTTTTTGGTAAGGGAGGCCCACTCAATTATTTTTTTAGCTATATGTTTATTTAATAAAATATTTTGTGGTATATTTGGTAGAAGTTTATAGATACCTAATTCTTAATATTTTACGCCACAAGCCATCAGTTCAACTAAGTTAAGCACTCAATAGCAATTAATTATCTTATTTGCTTTCTACCTTCTATCAATTATACCAAGAGCATTATTGTTGTTATATCATTTGTCACTCTCTAGCCAACGTTGAGTATTTGGCGCATAGACGCTTCATTACGAAATGCAATTCGCGCCCAAAACTGTGCTACATAATCACATTAATCAGCGCTAATTATGCATATACGCCCAGCATGAAAGCGAAATTGTGCGGTTATATGCATCCAACAGCAACAACAACAATGCATATAATAAAATCAGCAGCAGCCACAACAACAAAAGCAACAAAAACCATGCCAAAAAGCAACGAGGCGTGGCATGTACGAAAATTATGCGCTTTTCAACAGAGAGTCGGAGTAGAAGGCAAAGCAACGTACGGCTAAAGAAAATGAACAGCACTTAATGATGCACTGCCTGCTGCGGCTAAGTTTTACGCGGCAACAACGCGGAAGAACCTACACGCGTTTGTCTGCTTGTTTGTTTGGGTGTGAAGTGATGACTAGAATGGCTTTTGCAGCAGCTGCCGCAAATGTTGTGGATCACAGCTCTAGCGGTAAATTGAAAATTATTGCATTCAATGCCATCTGTCATGGCTGCTTTGACAGCTGCAATGGCGGTACCAGCGCCTGTCGTCTTTGTTGCTCTTGCAACATATATGCATATGTACACATATATGTGTGTGTGTGTTGGTATGTGCGAAATTGACTGTGCCAAGTGCCCAACTGCCGTTTAATCGAAAGACTGTGGTGACAAAAATAAAAGCAACAAACGCAAAAAGTCTACGCAGATCATGGCAGCACTGTAGCATTGGCAATAAACCTCAAAATGTTGTCGTTTATACGCGCCGCGCTGCTGGTTATTTTAACGATGTGGCCACAGTGCAAAAAAAGATGAGTACAAAATAGAAAAAATATCAAAAAGCTACAGCATAGTAGACTCCTCACTGTGGGAGTGCCGATGTTTGAGGGCGACAAGAGAGCTGGTTGGCTGTAAGAAGATTTATTAAGCGACTTGACTAATGTTGCAGCTAATGCTGCAACGAAAACAACGCACAAGCGCACACTCGCCAAATCAATTACCACACAATCCGAGCGTAAAGCATCAGCAATTCGATTATGGTGCCAAATAAAAAGTAAAATTTATTGTGACAAAATAGTAAAGAAGTGATTTTCTGCTACAAATGAACTGATTTTTCATATATACAAGTATGTTCTAGAAAACAACACAATTAGCTGCTCTAATTGAAAAAAAATGTATTTTTGTAAAACGTAAACTGTGAAAGTTTCTGCACGAAGAAATAAATAATTTTTATTAACTGAACAAAATATAACAAAAATAAGAAAAGACGATAACTTCAGCTGCACCGAGGTAATAATACCCTTCAAAGGTGGATTTCTTATAGCTAAAGGGTATATAAAGATCTATATCTTGATTTTTATTTGTTAGCTTGTATGATAGCCTTATGCTATAGCGGTCCGATCTTGAAAATATTTCAAGATATTGTAGCCTTGCCGTAGATAACAGTCTATGCCAAATTTTGCGAAGATATCTTTTCAAATGAAAGAGTTTTGCATATAACGTTTGAATTTTGGTCGATCAGTTTGTATGACAGCTATATGATATAGTGGTGCGATCGGAATAATTTATTCGAAGGTTGTACCGTTGCCTAAAGGTATAATTCCAGCCAATTTTCGTGAATATGGTTTGTCAAATCAAAAAGTTTCATATACTAGAACTTAATTTTGATAGGTCAGTTTGCATAGCAGCTATATGCTATAGTAATCAGAATCGATCAAAACAATATATTAGAAAATTGTAAAGTTTCATTAGAAAATAATGCCTGCCAAATTTCGTAAAGCTATCTCGTTAAATAAACAAATTTTCCATGCAAATCCTTGATTCTTATTGTTCAGTTTGTATGGCAGGTATAACCTATAGTAGTCAGATATCTGCGATTTCGAAAAATCAGTAGCTTCTTGGGGAGAAAATGACGTGTGCAAAATGTCCAAACGTAATATCAAAAAGTGAGAGACTAGTTCTCGTATGTAATAATTTTGCGATTCTTTTGTCATTAGAATTTTTAACTAAAACCAGTTTCAGACTTCTACATGGGTAGTAGTGTGCGTATAGACTTAATGGACTACGTTCACCTAAATGCACCTAAAAGCATGCAGCACTTGATTGCGCTGTGAACGAAAAAGCACTTCTATAACAGCCATTGCACCTAAATGTATGCTACCTTCCTGCATAGTGGCATACAAGCCGTTTCATAAGTTCATAGGTACACACAGAGGTATGAAGTGCGAGTGTGCAAACACTTTGCTAGTAGCGACTAAGCATATGACGAGGAAACGCATTTTGCAAACTCTATGGTAGTGTGTGTGTATGTGTGTGCTCAAATATTTCTTTACAACTTCCCATCGCTGGTGATGTTTTGCACTTGCCGGTTTTTATACATACAATCATGAAATTGTGTGTGTGTGTGTGTGTGTGTGTGTGTAACAGATATTAATATAAGTGTGTGTGTGTGTGTTTTTTGCTGTTCTTGCATCACTTCAAATCTGCAAAGGTGCTTTGCACATTTTTCACTGCCTAAAAAACACACATGCAGGCTCACATGTGTGTATACGTGTACACATACAGATGTACAGTCATTTGTAGCGTTAGGTTATTAACATTGCTCCACCGGAAGTGTGTGTGCAAATGTATGTGGCAAGTATGAAATGTGAAAATACTATTATTGTACAGTTTTTATACATCAAAATACAACAACACATACTCAAAATTTACAATAAAATACCAACAAGCTTCCCCAGCACTGCACATATGTGAAAATTTTGTGCTAACCGCAATTTAATTTTAATGTTTAATAAAAATTCATTGATTTTTTGCAGCAACACCTTATTCCCAATAGCAAAATATTAACTTCTCATGAATAATTTTAATATGTTAGGGCTTGCATATGTTAAAGCCCACTGAAGCTGATATATGTATATACGATATACATGAAATTCATTGCTGCATATGCATATGCACTCATATATGTATGTGTGTGGAGCCAAAAATATTTACCAATCTCTGTTTGTGTTTGCTTTGCTATTCCCAAAAGCAGTGAAAAAATTGCCAAATCAGTTTCTGACATATTTTTGGGCGTAGAACATAAAAATTTATATATTTTGTAAATTCATATAAGTAAATACCACATCAGATGTATATATATATATAATTTATTAACTTAATTTCCGTTAATATAAGATAATGTTTTTAACAACTATATTTTAGTAATAGTGGTCGCAGAAAATTTTTTGAAAATTCTTTGCTATAATTTCTAAAGTAGTAACTATTTATGCTATAATTGCTTAATAATAAAGAGGAAGGTAAAAGCTTAGATCTGTAGTAGTCTAAATGCCATGGAGGTCGCATATGATTTAACGTTACCCAGAATGCACTACACGGAGGCAATCCTGCCTTGATTCCCAAATCAATTTTACAGGAGTTCTAAGTACCACAACGGACCGGCTATAAGCTGTTTAAGTGGGATTCCTGTTATTATCGACCTTTTAACCTAACCTCACCTAAAAGCTGTGATATTTAAAGCTATATTCTAGCATATAACTTATCTCTGGAATCGGTTAAGTTTTCTATTCAGTTCTAGTTTATGTTTTGTCATATCCATATATTTGGCACTGAAGACAGGAGGCTAAGCCTTATTAACCTTAAACTACAATTTTGCAAGTTTTATAATATGTTTGGGTTCACTATCTAACAGATTTACCTGGTAGCATATGTTGTATCACTTCACATTTTATTAAATGTGGTCAGATGAGTACATAACTTGTATTATATATTTAAGAGCTTATGTAGAATAAGTTCCGAAACTATGCTGTCTTCTGCGCTCTATAGTTCCACGAAAATATAATAATCGCTCTTATATGCACTTTTTTTTAGTTTCTCTCTTCTCTTCTTTTTTGTTTGCTCTTTTCGTCATTAGCCTTGGCTTATTTATAAGAATGGCGCGCCGTTCTATATAGTTCTTTAATGAGTTGGAGTTAAAATCAGTTTGCTTGATAAGCGACTCTGATGAGTAAGTACCGCGAAGAGCGAGTATAATCAAATACACCTTAAATAATGATATTTGTTTTAATTATCTAATTCATTATTTAAACCAACAAATAAAGGCTTGATTGATAATGCTGATTTTTGTTAAGATTTCCGATTTTGAAAGCTTCAAAAAAGCTCTCCACAAACCTCTAGGAGGTTATCTACATCAATATACTACATATAAATATATATACTCTTATAAACATACATCTGTTTAGCTGTACACTTATGCCACTAATCTCGCCGCAGCTCGGTATGTACGCTTCATTGAAAACGAGAGCACCCCTCACTCAAGTTTGGAATGTTGAATTTCACATATAATATTCTTAGTCTCAAGTATGTGTCCAAAGATGATGAACGTGTTGACGGGTTTACTCGGTTTTTTTTTGTTAATCACAGCTGCTGTCGAGGTCTCAGCCGATGAAGCAATCACAATTTTTCTCGATGGCGGCAAAGAGTTCAGCGCTATAAAAACAGACGTGGACGCAATTCGGATTGCAGGGAATGAATTAAATACAGAGTAATAAAAAGAGTGCATAGAATTTGTGTGGAGTAGTTTTGATTTGAATACCAAGTCTAATATACCATATTTTCTATATCTTTTGTGATTTGCTTGAATAACAACTAACTCCTGAACATCTGAACGCTCGGTTTGCAGCCTGTCAAAAAGGTGATTGTGTTAGCAATAGTATGAGTTTAATAATTTTAATAAGCATATATTTACGTGATATAATTTTCATTTAAAGATTAAATAGGCTCGAAAGCTCCATTGAAAAGTTGACTGTACTCATGCAGAGTTTGGCGAAGGAGTAAGCACTTGCACATTTTTTCTGGACTAAAATAATATTTCAGTGTTATTTCAGCATGGAATATTTAAAGAGTAGTCGTAAATGTAGGATCGCAAGTATCGATAAAAACCGGAAATATCAACTTTAACTAGAAAGAATATTGATTTGTTCATGGTGATACTCATTCAGTACTTGAATTTCAAAGCTCTATATATATATATATGAGAAAGAAGTGAATTTTATTCACATGGCTTCAGTATAATGATTAAAAAAATTTAGTTAATAATAAATTCTGCACTGCAACGTTTTAATAAATTGGTATATTTTTTTTTCAAATACAATTATTTTTACCCACAATTTCATATGCGTTTTCATTGAATATTATACCATATACTGTAGTGATAATAATAAGTTGAATATGTTATCAATTTGCGTTCAATTTTGTTATATATGTATAGACGTAATTCTTGGAATGTCTTTATGAGGACGCCAGAATATGTTATTAAGAACATGTACTTTTGACAGTAAATTAAATTTATAAAAAATTAATTTACACCGGCGATAAAAACTGAGCGCACATTTTGTTTGTTTTTTTCTTTTGTTTATTCTTCTTTCATTTCAGAATTGAATATGTACAAAATTATTTTAACAAAATGAGTTTATTTTTAATTTTTTTTTAAACTTAAAACCAAACTCGCAATAGCCTAGTGAATTCTTAAATTTTCTGAAAAAATAAAATAATGCGAAACTTTTAAATAGATTTGAAATTATTGTAACATTTTGCATATGTTGCACAAATGTAGGGGTTAGATTTTTTATCTATAAGATAGTTATACTAATTTAAAGCACTTAAAAATTTCTGTTATTAAGTTAGTAAAATGTTTTTCAAAAATTACAAAAAAATCTAAATCTAAAGTTTATATGACTTATTTAGAAAAATTCAATTTTTTAAAACATTTTCTGATTTTTAATACCGTTTTAAATTAAAAAAAAATATATATTGTATATAATCAAAATAAAAGGAGCTGAAATCAAAAGATTTTTTAGCTTTATCTTAAAAATTTTTTCAGGTCAAAAAACAACATCCGAAATCTATAGAATTTATTTAGTTATACTTAAAAATTAATATGTACTTTTTCGATATTTTTATGATTTTCAACATAGTTTTAATATTTTAATTTGTCAAAAAGTCTGCAAAAATTTTATATTCTAAAAACTAACACTAAAAAAAAATTATGTTTAAAATTTTTTTTGTGGTTTTCAAAAGTACCCTCAAAACGCGTATAGCAGGTTAATCAAAAATTCTGTAATATGGAGTTCTATAATTCTATATAAACTGCACAACCGAATTAAAACAATTTATTTTTTAAATTTATGAAAAAATATATTTTAAATATTTAAAAACAAATATATTTTCAATATTTTTTTTTTTAGATATTATTCGAAACTAAACAAAAATATATGAAATAAAAAAAATCTTTTATCTATAAAAAAATTTCAAAAGTTTTGGTGGTTTCCAACAGTTCTATTAAAAAAATATATTTTTTAAAATCAAAAATAAGAAAAGTTAAAAAAAAAACTAAATTTTAGACCAGTTTATCATAAAAGCGAATTTATAATTTTCAAAATTCTGAAAAACAAAATTTTCAAAAAATTAATTCTAAAAAAAACATTTCAAAATTTCAAAAAAAATTTTTTTTGGTATTTTTTCAATACATAAAATAACTGCTATTTTTCTTAAATTTGCAATAGTTAACATAAAAGAACATATCAAAGTTGCTTGTTGTCGCTCAGAATTTCTGTGAAAAATATATTTTATGTAAATTCCCATTAACTAGTCATTGCGCCAGTCACTGAAAGTGAGTTTGTAAGAAAATTGCCTTTCAAGTTGGTACGAATTTTAGTAAAAAATACTCGAGACAAAGTAAATTGTAAAAAATTTCAAAATTTTGCTGTATGTTTTACTTTCATTTGAAATTAGCAATGTATTCGCTCACTTGTATAATAATTTCTGTCAAAATAGAAGCTTTTGTGTACCGAATTCACACTCATTGCAAAAATATTTACATAATAATCACTTTAAAAGTATGCCAACCTTCTGAAAACACAGACGCGATTATTTGAAATTGCAGTAAATAGGATATCTCATGGCCTTGCATTCAAGCAAATTTGTGACAGCTTATCATAAGGGTTGCGGTTTTAAGCACGTCGTGTATTTAAAGTATTTGACTTAAAAATGCTTATTCGGGATTTTCGTTTTGAACCGAACCGAAATATGTTTTTGAGTCATTTCTGGTTCGGTTTTCGCATTTTAAAATAAAAGTGGTTTGATTTGTGGCTCGGTGCAAGGCCAGTAAAGAGAGGCGGTTCGGTTCGAAAACTGGCTTTCAGGCCTGGTTTAAAAATTATTGTTTTCTATTATGTGGTAGTTCCAGCAAGTTCCTCGCACAAGTTTTGATAAGTTAGTGTAGAATAACAGAAAAAATTTATATAAAGTGTCAACGAACTAGTTTAAATCAGTTTCTGAAAAAATTTAGAGAAAAAAAACTTTTCAACTAATAATACAACAACGTCAACATTTAAGCTCAAAGTTGCATTCAAGTGAATTTATGATTTTTTTTATGTTGTTTGTGTTGTTTTCGAATCAGCTGCAAGTGATAAGCAAAATATGCAAACAGCAACAAATCTTTGTTTGAAACAAAAAAATAAACTACGCGATAAGTGTTGGGCTAAGCAAAACCGCATCATCATTAATTAAAGCATACTTTCCGGCACTTAATTTGCATGCTACGATTATCAGCTGGCTTGTTCAGAATTTTTTATTTGTTTGCTAAATTTTTGCTGTGCAACTCTTATCTCCAATGCTATAATACTTTCGTTTACAAATATATATTTATTTGTTCGATGTGGAAATCATTAGCTTCACCTTACTTACAAAATGTATTACTACCAGTCTATGTGCTCGGCGCACACATCCATCACTATTCTGCATGGCAGCTCGCATTACTAATGAATATTTTGCTCATACATCTCGAATTCTCCTTTCAAGCGAATTCACCGATTTTCCATTCGCAAACGCCAAGCAGATATTGTCTTTGCCTTGTAGTTGTTTTTGTAGTTACAATTTTGATACGCTTTCCCAATTACTAGCGTTAGCAAAGTTTCCTAACTGACATTACATTGCATTAAATCAATTATTTGTTGTACGATATATAATTAGCGGATAATTGATTACAATTGAAATAACAAAAACATACGACGCGCTAAACTTGTTCGAGCAAATAATTACTAGATATAGCAGCGTTATTTTTATTATTTGGCCTTATCAGAGCATATACGCATTCCGTTATAACTGCGCTCAATAGCAATTGGAAAAGAGTTTGTTTATTATTTGACTGGATTTGTTTATAGTTATTTATTTAGTAATCTCTGTTTACCCCTTAATGCTGTTATAAGTATACACATATTAGGCACATATTACAAGAGCACAAGTTAAGTTTACTTAAAACTTTAACTGCCTAAAATATTGTGAAAGTTGCAAAATTGTTTTTTTTTTTGGCAAAATAAGAAAATATTTTTGTAAATATCATTAAAAACTATAAAAAAAAAACTATTTTAAGATTGTACAGTTAGCAATAATTTAGTAATTAATTTTAAAATACATCGCGTTCCATGTTAATGCGTTCACCAAGATTTTTTAATATTAGTATACAATTTTTTTATTTTATACTCGGCGTTTTCCATTATTTTATCGATAATTGGTTTTCCAGAGCCTAATGCATCTTTGACATCGAAATTACCGGGACGCATAAGCGCTGGCTTGCGTTTTCGCCCTTATCGAAGAAAAACTGTCAAAAATAGCTATTTGCTCATTGCTTGTGTCCATTTTTGATGCGCGCTCAAACAAAATTGAATCAACCAATAACAAAACTGTCGGAAAAGTTTTTTTAGTACGAAATTTCATATTTCAAATGCCATTTAGACGAACCCGATCGAACTTATACAACGCGAGATACTAATAAATAACGCCATCTATTGTAAAAATAATGGATTTCTTTTTACAACACCTATATTTTTTTGATATATTATATATACCAAAATTATATTATATACGTAAAAATTTGTTAAAAAATGAAGACTCCATGTATTGTGGAAAATAATAATGAAATAAAATACTTTAAATTTTCTAAATTAGATGTTGAACAATTATATATACATTAGGGTGGGCCGAAAAAAATTTTTAGGGTAGGGCTTAGGGTAAAATTTGTAGATTATAAAAAAAGAAAATTTGTGGAAAAAAAATTTTTTTTTTCATCTAGAGGCATGGCCTACTCACTTTTAAAGTAACTTTCGAGTTAAAAATTTTATTTCGTAAAAAAATTTTAATAAGTGTTCTAGAAGCTGTGGAGAGTCCTCTTTCTGGCCAATTCAACTTAAAAAAATTTTTGTGGTCATTATTGGAGTTTAAAAAAAAAAGTCTTAAACGACAACATGCTTGCCTTAAGCGTTAAAATCAATTTTGAGTCTAAAACCGTCAAATTCGGTAATTTTTATATAAAAGTGAAGAGTTTTAACCAAACAAAATTTTTTTATTGTCCAACAAAAATTTTAACTCGAAATTTACTTTAAAAGTGAGTGGGTCATACCTCTAGATGTTAAAAAAAAAAAAAATTTTGTCCAGTTCTACCCTCAGGCTAAACAAAAAAAAAAAATAGTTTTCGCTGCACCCTAATATAAATATACATTATATATATTTTTATTGCCACATTTGCAATATTTTTATATAAATTTAAGTACTTACGTTTAGAAGCGTTTCTTTCTAACATATTTTTCGTATTCAGTTCATTAAATGAGGTTAGAATAATTATTTCAATGCAACTGAAGTCAACAGTTATATTCAAACACGAAAAAGCGCAAATACCTTTATCAGCGCAAATTAACTGCTGTACGCATCAACTCCTCATGCAATTTAGTGCAGTAATATAGTAACGACTTCATTTATGCCATAAAAGTGTAGAAAAAATGCGAGCAAAGAGGAAATTAAAATGCACTCTGGTCACTCATACGCCACGTCATACACACATTATTGCCAAACTGCACGGAAATGCATAGTCATGCAGTAATTGCTGTGTGCGTATGTGTGTGTAGTTGTATGCATGCATCTGTGCATTGCGTGCGTTAAGCAAATGTCAGCTCATATTTGCATTTTAATTAAAAAATATCTGCGCCCATGCAAATAAACGCACAAACGTGCTTACAACCTCGCACATATTTACATACAAATATACAGCACACATGGTAACGGTAACGGCGAG